ACAACCGATGGAGAAACGCCTATGGTAAGGGGGTAGTTCATATTGCCTATGTCTGGGTGGAGTTAATCACTTTTTGGAGGTACTTTGGGCTTCAAAGTAGGAGCCTAGATTAATTTTAACTAGACATCCACCTTTTAGAGGACATAAATTAGTGTAATGGCTCCTGTAGAAATGTAACTGGTAGAGGGAACATTACCAGTACATATCACTGTCCATCATAAATTCTTGTAACTTTGAATGGTTCATCATGCTCCATGTTCACCCTTAGCAGCTGAATGATGGCATCTCTACCCACACTTGGTGCCACCAACCTACCCTTCTGTGCCCAAGAAACTGGACATTTCTTCTGAACTATTACTTTTTTTTGCAGAGATCAGCCCATATATGCATCAGTTGCCTTCTGTTGCAACTAAGTACATGTGTATAAACATCAAAGAATTGCATCTGTGTGTCTATACCTATGGAGGAATTAGTCACCACTGTCATGGGAATGTTCAGATGACTGATAAATTAGACCAGTTTCAAACTTTAAAACAGAACTTCACTAGGTTGACATTCATTATTAATACACATCATCAGTGGTTGGTTTTTAATCATTAACATTCATTATCATCATCTATTCAAGTCTTAACAATGTTATTCTACGCCTGCTAGTGTCTGACACAACCAAAGCTAATCCCTGGAATTCAGCAAAGTTACTGCTGCTTTGATGACACTGGTAATACCCTACCCCCCATCCACCATCTGAGGAGAAAGTCCTGGAAGAAGCTTTCAGGAGGACCTTTTTTTCCCCAAAAGACAGACTCTTGATCCAATCTATGTATTTTTTTAAAAAGAAGGTAGGAAGAAGCCCATGAATTGTATATTTTCTTTTTCCAAGGACATTTGATTAATTTTTCCTGTAGGTAGGTTTAGATTTGCCCCTTTTCAACCTTTCCCAAAGATATTTCTGCTTTTGATATTTTTCTCTGTATATTCAGTTTTAAATAAAATGGCAAGACATTTCTTCTAAGTGTCATGTTATCTTTTATTTATTTATTTATTTATTTTCAGGGTTAATTTTCCTCAGGAGAAAAGTAGGAACAGTTATTAACTCTCTCCCACATCAGCATATTTGTGGAGCTAGTGAAGAACTGGTACAGAAGTGGAACTCTGTTGTGTTTCAGACAGAAATATCTGAATTATTCATTACATCTTCTGCAAAATCAAGATTCAGAAATCCTTAAAATGATCCCAGTAATTTATACATGGACTTTACCCCTGAAAAGTAGGACTCCAGTTCCATGGCTAGACTCACAGTATACCAACATGACAGCCATAATATTCCTGAATCTTCTCTCACTTCTGTGGAGCAATGTGTTCAGACAAACAGTTAATGCCCTTTACTATATTTCTAGCCTTTCTGTGATCAGGGGACACACCTGTGATGGGCAAAGCTGTGACTGCTCACACTTGTTCACAGGCATTGCCAATGTGTGATACCCACCGGGATGCAACATCCTACGCTAGGTCATGGAGTTGGCAAGCAACATAAATAGGTTCAAGATTGTGCTTGATCCACACAACAAAATTACACAGAAGAGCAGCTGGGTTCAATCACACAGAACTTCCCTTCTGAACCTACTACTTTGTACAGGGATGGCCTGATTTACCTCCCCCTCTACTTACTATTGTAACACTACCCTGCCTGGCCACCCTACTTGCACATTTTACAACAAACATGAAACCTCCATGCCTCCCTCAGTAAGATTGGGTCCCTGCTAGAACAGTAACAATGGGAAGACTGGTGAGTTTTTAAATCTACATTATAAGCTCTCCATTAAGCAAGTCCAGTCTTACTGAAAATCCCTTTTGTTGCCTTCACTAATACTGTCAGCCAAGATCCGCCAAAGATCATCTTTGATTTCTCCCAGTCCTGCATGTTCAGGAGCACATATCCTGTTATGTTTTACAAAGCTCTGAAAATGCTCTATTTAAAGTAGTAATCAGTTAAATGAAATCCCATTGCAGGTATTATGCTGAAGTCTAGAACAGAGACACACTTTGTAAATCTACTAATATTTCCAGTTTCTTTCTAGGAAAAAAAAAAAAGAACGAACGAATGAATGAATAAGTACAACCACACCCAAGCTTTAACTAGCAAGAGTTAAAGGGAAAAAGGTAATGTCTGGTTTTGTGGTTTTCTTAACTGTACTGATGTGGAGATGTGAACTGCTCACTACAGAGAGTAACAGCAGCATTTTAATGCTTAATTTGCACACATAAGACACAGTCTTAGACTGATTTGTAGTTTACTCTATGACCTAAAAGTGTGTTCACAGAGACACTAGCTAATGACTGAGCTCATGTTTTCAAGTGTTTGCTAAAATCACGGCCTGCATCTGTCGCCAAAAAAGCTGCAAGTAATTTTTTTTTTTCTTCTTTCACTAGACACACTAAATGCTTCACTTCCGTGCAAGAAAAATAGTTTTGAACAATAACTGGAGAAACTTTTCAGGCTTTACTAGTTCCAGACCATTCAATTAACACACTTTCCTGACTTTTCCCAAGCCTGGCAGCTCTAAAGAGAAATGATGATCCCACAGTAATTAAAACTTCTGTAGTTTTCATAATTAGCATCAGGGAAGAAACAGGTGATATGTTGAAGCGATCCACTTTTATTTTGCTTTTGGACTTACATGAAATGACAAATGTATTTTTACATAGCCATTTTGAGAAACCAGAAAAGGGAGCTGTCTTTTGGGCAAAGGCCAAAGGGTTATTTTCCTGAGTAAAAATAAATAAATACCAAAATACCCGATTTTATTATAAAATAACATTTTCCTTTTATTCTTAAAATAAAATAGTCTTTTCAATTCAGACTCAAAAATGAAGGTGCTATAAACAATACTTGCAATTAACAGAGTCCGCCACAGAGGTCAAGCAAAACAGTGAGGCTAGGAAAGAAAATTCATCTGGAAAAAGCTGGTTGTAAGAAAGTCAACACAACCTTCATGCCCAGAATCTTCTTAGACAAGCCCAAGCAGGTATGGCCTCAGCTGCAGCTGATGATGTTAAAGAGCACACAGGAACTGGAAAAGCATGAGGTTTTCTTCTTCTGAACTCCAGTTTCAGATTCTAAAAGTGGCTACCCTGAAAATCTTCCTAACAGCTTCGGAACTGCAAAGTGTTACAAAACAAATTTGGAGTTTTTCATTTTCTTGTATGTTTAAAGTTCAAGGGTTTTCCTACTAGATTAAGTTGTATATATCTCCACCCAAGGCCCCCAAAAGTACAAATACCATCTCAACCCCTAGACTCTCAGTGTTCTTCCAGAAGGTGGATCTTAATATGCACTGACAGATTTTTAGAAGCTCTTCATTAATTAGTATTCAAAGTCCATACTTCCCACAGAAGGCAAAACCGTAACACAACACAACCATTACAAGGCAACGGTTCAGGCAGTAAGCAAATATATATGCCTTAAACTATCCCACAACCCATCAGGGTCCCTGACAGAATAACAATGGTTCTGTTTCTCCTAAATGGAAAGAAAAATTCCACTAGCACAGAAACAGAATAAACAGGGCTTGTAAACTAAAGTTTGCAAATCCATAGCATTGACCACTCTCTAGATCAAATAAAAACTTCCTTCTTCTGTAACCTCACCCCGTGTACATTCCTGTGGCAAGTTCAATTTGCTGCAGTCCAAATTCATACACCAATATGGCCTTTCTCCTCTTATACTTGCCCTCCAAAATCACTCTTGTATTTCCAGCATGGTGTATATCAGAATCAGCTGCTACATTGCTAAAGTGTACTGGAGACTCATCTTCCACCAGTTCTTGTCATGTAGGCAAAAAGTGAGTGAGGGACAACAGATCAGAGACAATAACACAGTTTCTGACACTCACTGCACAAATATATACTTGGAATATTTATACATCTTCAGCCTTTAAGGTGGTTCCCTGCAAAGTTTCTTTACTTTTCACTTCTCATCAGACTCAGAATTGTTCTGTAAGAACTGCACATGGAGAAATATTTTTGCAAGGCTTCTCGAACCTGCCTGTTCCTCAGACTGAAGATGAATGGGCTGAGCAGAGGAGATACCACTGTGTTGAGAATAGCTACCCCTTTGCTGATGTCAAGCCCACCCATGTGTGTGGGTTTAACATACATGAAAATGCAACTCCCATAAGAGATGAAGACAAGAATAAGGTGAGATGCACAAGTGGAAAAGGCTTTCTGCTTCCCTGAAGCAGATGAAATGTGCAATATAGTGGAAATTATATTGGCATAAGACAGGACTGTGATAATAAGAGTGCCCAGGAGAGAAAAAACAGCTATGGAGAAGTTAACAAGATCTAGAACAGGTGTTTCTGTGCAGGAAAGTTTTATTAAAGGTGCACTGTCACAGAAGAAATGGTTAATGTTTTGGTTACAAAAGGGTAACTGGAAGACAACAATTGATGGGCCAATCAGAAGTGCAAAACTCAGCCCCCATGAACCAAGCACTAGTAAGCTACAAAGCCCATTGCTCATTATGGTGGAGTAAGACAAGGGGTAGCAGATGGCTACATACCTGTCAAATGACATTGCTGCCAAGAGAAGAAACTCTGTCGTGCCAAAGATGAAATATAAAAAAAGTTGAACAAAGCAACCAATCACAGAAATTGTGTTTTCTCCTGATGCGAGGTTGAACAAGACCTTAGGAATGACAGAAGAAGTGAAACCAATTTCCAAGAGTGAAAAGTTCCAAATAAAGTAATACATGGGCACACGGAGCCCACGGTCCACGATGCTGATGGTGACAATCACTATGTTTCCAATTATAATTGAGATGTAGATGACAAGGAGAACCACAAACATAAAGATCTGCAACTTCCTGCCAGCTGTGAAACCCACAAGGATGAAATTCTTGACCATGGTTCGGTTTTCCATTGCAACATTTACTTATGTGTCTCGTGTTGTGAATAACTGGGGGGGAGAGGAGAGGGAGGATTCAATGCTGTATTTTAAATTTAAATGTATATGAAACATGAATCAGCAGAGAATTGAAAGGAAAATTACTCTCTAACATGAAGGCATGCTATCAATAAACTACTCAATACTTCTGCTTTCTTTTCCATCACTATTAGCTTTTTGTTTATTCCTGATTTCAAAATATGGAAAATTACACAGCTGCTGTAGTTCATACTACCACTGTACAGCCAAATCCAAACTTCAGAAAGAAAGCTGAGAGGACTAAAGTAAGATTTCAAATGAAAAACATGTCACTGAAGTCAGTTTCTACTGTTCTTTTCTGATTTCTTTCCAATCTAAGAAAACCATGACAAAGTTTAAGGGACAAGAAGAGATCCTATTTTTGTTGAGGCTTCTAAACTCCTCAATGTATTTGAAGCTAGAAGTATTGCAAGAAAATAAATCCGCTTTCCTAGGAGTCTGTTTTCAAAAATTTTCACATGAACAGTAAGTTAGTTACCTTTGTAACACGACGTAAGTCAGGGTTTAAGTCTAAGAGGTTTCATGCTCCTGCCATTCTAATGCACTAGCTAAGGCTGAACACTGTCTCTCGTCTCCAGGCACATTCTCCAACACGAAATGATGAAGGCTTTTAAGTAACTGACAAAGAATAAGGGGGAGGGAAGATATCTACCCTGGGACAGCACAGAGTCTTGTAAATGTAAACACCACCACTGGACTAGCACGTTAAATTCTCTAATTACTGTTCGTTCTAGACTGTGATCACTGTCAATGTATTCATGTATGAAGAGGAACAGTAGGTCTCTCTAAAAGCATGGTTTCATTCTCTGGTGAATGGGAACATCTGAAAATTTGAGTTAGCAGACTGGTTCCCATTCTTCAAAAACCAATACATGTGGGACCTTGGTACTCAGTACTAGTTCACAGGCATTAGCTAGTTTGTTCTGGTTTTGGCTGGGATAGAGTTAATTTTCTTCCTAGTGGCTGGTGTGGTGCTCTGTTTTAGATTTAGTATGAGAATAATGTTGATCACACACTGATGTTTTAGTTGTTGCTAAGTAGTGCTTACCTAGTCAAGGACTTTTCAGCTTCCCATGCTCTGCCAGGTGCACAAGAAGTTGGGAGGGAGCACAGCCAGGACAGCTAATCCAACTGGCCAACGGGGTATTCCATACCATCTGATGTCATGCACAGTGTATAAACTGAGGGAGGGGGGCTGGTGAGCAGCGATCGCTGCTCAGGGACTGGCT